AACACCAGTATAAAGTTAGCTCACTGCCCAGGTAAACACCAGTATAATGTTAGCTCACTGCCCAGGTAAACACCAGTATAATGTTAGCTCACTGCCCAGGTAAACACTGGTTCAAGCATGGGCTTGATTTAGGCTGAGAATGGCGATACAGCGGGTGGAGGTTGGGTTAGTTTTGAAGTTCAGGACACAGATTCCCCAAAAAGGTGATTAAGAACTCATAAATGATTTTAAGATAGTATTAATTTCTTTTAGGAATTGCACTTTTGATGTGCTGCGTAATCTAGCCAGGTAGGAAGGATGAGAACAGGTGAGAAGGCCCAGCTCAGAGCAATACCTGGGGGAATCAGAGGTAATGGTGAGAGTGTAGGGCCAACATATTCCAGGAAAGGCAAAGGATGGGACCAACAGGACCAGAGAACCCAGAATGTCAAAGGATGTACAGGATTGCATAAGAGGGAGAAAGGTAAGTTTATCATAGATACGAAAAACTAAAAACAATGGATGCCATAGGGGAATATCGAAAATGTAGGGGGTTGCTTAAAAAAGAAATTAGGAGAGCAAAGAGGAGATGTGAGAAAACACTGGTGAGTAACATTAAGGACAATTCAAAGGTATTTTGTGAGGATTTTAGGGATAAGAGAATCACCAGGGAATGGTAGAGCTCATTAGCAAAATGTAGAGAAGTGTGAGGTGATGCATTTTAGTCAGAAGAACATTGAAAGCCAACATGAAATGGTGGGTACAATTTTAAAGGGGGTGCAGGAGCAGAGGGAACTGGATGTATATGTGCACAGGTCAACAGGTGACAGATAGAGAGAGCAGTTAATAAAGCACATAGCATCCTCAGCTTTATTACTAAGGTTGTAGAATATGAGAGCAGGGAGGTGATATCGAACATGTACAAGACACCTGTTAGACCTCAGCTGGATTATTGTCTACAGTTGTGGGCACTACATTATATGCAAGACATGAATGCCTTGGAGAGAGTGCTGAAGTGATTTACAGGAATGGTTCCAGGAATGAGAAATTTCAGCAATAAGGACAGCCTGAGGAAGGTGGGACCGTTCTCCCTGGAAAGAAAAAGGCTGAGAGGAGATTTGATAAAGAATTTCAAAACCATGAGTGGGCTGGACAGAGTAGAGAGAGAGAAACTGTTCCCATTTGTAAAAGGAACGAGAATGGGAGGGCAGAGATTGAAAGTGACGTGTAAACAAAGCAAGAGCATTGTTAGAAAAGGCATTTTCACACAGCGAGTATTTAGGGTGTGGAATGTGGTGTAGGCAGGTTCAATTGAGGCATTCAGGAGGAGAATTAGATGATTATTTGGGTAGAAATTGTGTGGGGAAAGGCAGGAAGTTGGCATGAGGTAATAAAACCAGTGCTGGCATAATAGGCTGAATGGCCTCCTGTCCAATAACAAATCTTTGATACTGTGATTCAGTTTGGAAGACATAGCTGACATTTTAAAAGGGTATTTGTATTTATTTTCACTGTAGAAAAGGACAGAATAGGTATTGAAAACAGGGAGGGGACTGTAATGCTTGCTAATAATCAATTTGCTTTGGGAGTGAGGAGGTATTAGTGGTTTTACCAGGGTTGAAGGTGCATAAGTCACCAGGCCCAGATGAGATGTGTGCAGGGCTGCTGTGGGAGGCAGGGGTGGAGATTACAGAGGCTCTAACATAAATATTCAAATCCTCTCTGGCCACAGGAGAACTTGAGGACAGCTAATCTGGTGCTGTTATTCAAAAGGGATGGTAGATATAAACCAGGCTACAGGCTAGTGAGTCTAAATTCTGCAGTAGGAAAACTATTGGAAAAGAATCTGAGGGACAGAATTAATCCCCGCTTAAGGAAGCAAGGATTAATTAAGGAAAGTCAACATGTCTTTGTCAGGGAGATCGTGTCCAATAAATTTGATTGAATTTTGTGAGGAGGTGACTAGATGTGTAGGTGAGGGTTGTGCAGTTATTATTATCAACATGGACTTTAGTAAGACTTTTCACCAGGCCTCACATGGGTCCATGGCATCCAGGGCTATTTGGTAAATTGGATCCAAAATTGTCTTAGTGGCAGGAGGCAGAGGGTGATGGTTGAAGGGTGCTACACTATAGGAAGGATGTGATTGCACTGGAGGGGATCTGATTGAGGTTTACAAAGTTCTGAGAGGCATAGGCAGAGAAGGTGGAAGCCTGTGTTGAATGACATAGGATTCATTGCTGGGTCTTTTGTGTAAGTTAATGATCTAGGCATGAATGTAAGAAGTAAGTTTGCAGACAACACAAAAACTAATGTGGTAATTAGCAAGGAGGAAAACCTTAGACTACAGGATGATATAGACAGGCCGGACGAGATGGGCTGAATGATAACAGATGATATTTAATTCTGAAAATGCATTTTGGAAGGATTAGCAAGGCAAGAGTGTACACGATGAATGGTAGGACCCTGGGAAGTATAGAGGATCAGAGGGACTTTGCTGTACATGTCCATAGCTCCTTCAAGGCAGCAGGATAGGTCAGAAAGATGGTGAAGAAGGCATATGGGATACTTGCCTTTATTAGTTAAAGCATTGAATATAAGAGCAAGGAGGTTTTGATGAATCTGTATATAACATTAGTTAGGTCACAGCCAGAGCACTGTGTGCAGTTCTGGTCCTACACTATAGGAAGGATGTGATTGCACTGGAGGGGATCTGATTGAGGTTTACAAAGTTCTGAGAGGCATAGGCAGAGAAGGTGGAGAGAAACCTTTCCCCTATGAGAGGGGTCAGTAGCCTGTTTTAAGATAACAAGCAGGAGGCTTAGAAAGGACTTGAGAAAAAGAATCTTTCATCCAGAGGGTGGTGGGGATCTGGAATTCACTGCCTGAAAGGGTGGTAGAGGCAGAATCCCTCGAGACATTTAAAAACTATGGGCACTTGGAACACTTCAGCTTACAAGGCTGTGAGCAAGTGCTGGAATGTGGAATTGGAATAGATGGATATTTGATGATTGGCATGGACACAATAGGCTGAAGGGTTCCTTTCTGTGGAAACTTTATGACTCTCGATGCCTCTTTCATTTATGAGTTGTATAATGTCTTGGAGCTGGAAGCAAGTGGCTCAAGAATCATCCAATCAAGGAACAAAGAGTTAGTTAGCTTTCCAGTTAGCTGGGCAGGGAGAGGATTGAGATAATGGACTGCCTCAGTGCCCAGGGGAGGGAGCTGGGAAACAGTGAAACCTGGAGGGAGCTGTTACCCATTGTTCAGACATATTGGTGTTGGAATGGGAAACTCGTGTGGGATGGGAGGTGGAATGGGATATGAGGCTACAGTGGGATTGAGATAAGGAAGGTTGGTTAGAATGGGATTGGGATAACAACACAAACCTTGGACAGTACATGTCTCACAGAGCTTGACAGCTCAACAGGGAAATTGGGAGCAGTAATTTAAGGGAGTGAGGATTGAGCTTGAACTCATATCCGTTTTCTCAGCATTCAGGTGAACCGAGTAATGACGTATCGAGACCTGGACAATGACTTAATGAAATATGGAGCTTTCCAAACTCTGGTGAGTGTCAGTACCTCCCACAGTGCACAGGAGTGTGCTTTGAGCAAGGACTATTCCAATTCTAATCTTACCAGTCTCTGAGCTTCCACACTAAATAGACCTGAGCTTACCCGAACCCTTTCTGTAGCCTTACTCACACTAAGTCCTGTTCAATAAACAGCCTTTTCTTTCATGGGATGTGGGCATTGCCGGCTGGGCCAGAATTTATTGCCCATCCGTAGTCTCATGGAGAAGATGGTGATGAGCTGCTTCCTTAAACCATTATAGACCTTGGTGGGTAGTTCAGCTCCCACAATGCTGTTAGGGAGGAAATTCCAGGATGACAGTGAAGGAATGGTGATATATTTCCCAGTTAGGATGGTAAGTGGCTTGGAGGGGACCTGTATTAGCTCCCAATCTAGTACATCTCGGTTTTATCTTCTCTGTTTACAAATGTCTCCATGGGTTTCCCCTCCCTGTCTCTTGTATTCCTCTCTCGCCCCACTATTCCCCGAGATATGTGTGCTGCTTTAGTTTGGCCCCTAATTTTCTTCACATAAACAATGGTGACCATGCCTTCAGCTGCTTGGAACCTAAGCTCCAAATTCCTTCCCTCAACACCCTGTCTCTCTATGTCTATCCCCTGTATGATGCATCTTTACACTTAGTTCTTTGACCAATCTATTGGCCATCCAATATCTCATCATGGGGCTTTGTATCAAATAGGTTTGGCTAATGCTTCTGTGAATCCTGTCTGGATGTTTGACCATGTTAGTGCATGAAGTAACTGCAAGGTGTTAGAATGTATGTTTTGTAGCTGGACTGCATTTCGGAGTGTGGGGAACTGACCTGACTGTCTGTGTGTCTCTATTAGGATGGTGATATTGACCTGAAGTTGCTGAGCCGTGTGCTGTCAGCGGAGCAGGAGGTCAGAGAGGTGAGCCTGAGGAACACGGGGAATATAAAGTGACCCATTGGCAGCAGAGAGCAGCCAGGTGTAAGCTGACAGTTGGCCTGGACCAGGGAGGGAGCATCAGCCTCACCAAGCGGGCTTTGTGATGGGGGATCCACCACAGAACCACTGCTGTCAATTCATAGACTGGAAAACCTATCAACCAATTGATTGAAGACACTGGGAAGTAATCCCTAGATTCCTTTGGGAACATGAACACAGAAATTAGGAGTAGGAAGAGGCCATTTGGCCCCTCAAGCCTGCCGTGCCTTCATTATGATCATGGGTAATCTGGCTGTGTCTTCTATTCCTCATTCTTGCCTTGTCCCGATAACTTAGATCCCCTTGTCACCCAAGAGTAGAACAACTTCTGCCTTAAAGTCATTCAGTGAATCAGACTCGACTGCTCCCTGCAGAAGAGAATTCCAATCATTCAAGATACTCTGAAAAACACATCATCTCAATCCCACATCTCCCGCACCTCATCCCTCACACCCCGTCCACGCAATAAAAACCAAAAAAGAATCCCCCTCGTCCTCACGTACCACCCCACCAACCTCCGGATCCAACGCATCATCCTCCGACACTTCCGCCATCTGCAATCCGACCCCACCACCAAAGACATCTTTCCCTCCCCACCCTTATCTGCTTTCCGGAGGGACAACTCTCTCCGTGACTCCCTTGTCCGCTCCACACTCCCCTCCAGCTCCACCACACCCGGCACTTTTCCCTGCAACCGCAGGAAGTGCTACACCTGCCCCCATACCTCCTCCCTCACCCCCATCCCAGGCCCCAAGAAGACTTTCCACATCAAGCAGATGTTCACCTGCACATCTGCCAATGTGGTATACTGCATCCGCTGTACCCGGTGTGGCTTCCTCTACATCGGGGAAACCAAGCGGAGACTCGGGGACCGCTTTGCAGAACACCTACGCTCGGTTCGCAATAAACAACTGCACCTCCCAGTCGCGAACCATTTCAACTCCCCCTCCCATTCCTCAGACGACATGTCCATCCTTGGCCTCCTGCAGTGCCACAATGATGCCACCCAAAGGTTGCAGGAACAGCAACTCATATTCCTCTTGGGAACCCTGCAGCCCAATGGTATCAATGTGGATCTCTGTCTGTGTCCTCTTAAAGCGGCAATGCTCTTGTGTGATACACTCACTTATTTGGAATGTTTTCTTTAAACCTGGAACTTCTGGAATTCTTCTCCACACCATGAGGGTCAGAAATGAGCTGCTACTACCTTGTGTTATTTACTCCCTCTATGTGATAATGGGTCAGGATTGTTTGAGTTAATTTGCAACCACCAATCCTTCTTTATTTTTTCTTTGTCTTGGTCCATTTGCTGATTAATGGGAGAGATAGACAACAGGAGAGTATAGACACAAAAACAAGGTTACTGGAAAAGCTCAGCAGGTTTGGCAGCATCTGTGAAGGAAAAGACAGAGTTAATGTTTCAGGTCCAGTGACCCTTCCTCAGAGGAGAGTATAGACAACAGGAGAGTATCTACAGAAGGATGGTGTTCTAGATAACAGGAAGGTTTATTACATTTCATCACTAATAATGACCTTAGGGAGATGCTGCAGATCTATCTGCTCCTTCTGAAAGCTGGAGGAGAGCTCCTAGTCTCCACCCACATTCTGTGTAATGACATTAGCGAATGGGAGTTGAAGTCATAAAAACATAAGAACCAGGAGCTGGAGTAGGCCTCTGGCCCTTTGAGCCTGCTCTGCCATTCAATAAGATGATGGCTGATCTTTTCATGGCCTCAGTTCCACTTACCCACCCTCTCACCATAACCCTTAATTCCTTTACTATTCAAAAATTATCTATCTTAGCTTTAAAAACATTCAGTGAGGAAGCCTCAACTACTTCACTGGGTGGGGAATTCCACAGATGCATAACGCTTTGGGTGACAAAGTTTCTCCTCAACTCAGTGCTAAATCTGCTCCCACTTATTTGGAGGCTATGCCCCCTAGTTCTAGTTTCCCAGTGGAAACAACCTCCCTGCTTCTATCTTATCTATTCCCTTCATAATTTTATATGTTTCTATAAGATCCCCCCTCATTCTTCTAAATTCCAATGACTATAGTCCCTGTCCACACAATCTCTCCTCAGAAGCCAACTTTCTCAACTCTAGAATCAACTCAGTGAACCTCCTCTGCACCCCCTCCAGGGCCAGTCCATCCTTTCCCAAGTAAGGAGACCAAGACTGTACACAGTACTCCAGGTGTGGCCTCACCAGCACCCTATACAGCTACAGCATAACCTCCCTGTTTTTAAACTCAATCCCTCTAGCAATGAAGGACAATATTCCATTTGCCTTCTTAATTACCTGCTGCACCTGCAAACCAACGTTTTGTGATTGATGCACAAGGACACCAAGGTCCATCTGCACAGCAGCATGCTGCAATTTTTTACCATTCAAGTAATAGTCCCTTTTACTTTTATTCCTACCAAAATGGATGACTTTACATTTATCAATATTGAGTTCCATCTGCCAGGCTTTTGCCTACTCACTTTAACTATCTATATCCCTCTGCAAACTTTCAGAGTCCCCTGCACACTTTGCTCTACCACTCATCTTAGTGTCATCAGCAAGCTTTGAGACACTACATGTGGTCCCCAACTCCCAAATTCCCGATGTAAATTGTAACCAATCCTCTGTCCATGCTAATACATTGCCTGTAACGCCGTGCACCTTTATCTTACGCAGCAGCCTTTTGTGTGGCACGTTGTCGAATACCTTTCAGAAATTCAAATTCACTGCACTGATAATGTCTTCCAATTATAGAATTCCAATAAGTTAGTTAAGTATGACTTGCCTTTCATTAACCCATGAGTCCATGCTGCGTCTACCCAATGGGATAATTTCTGTCTGGATGTCTTACTATTTCTTCTTTGATAGATTCAAGCATTTTCCCCATTACAGAAGTTAAGCTTAGCGGTCTATAATTCTCCATCTTTTGTCTACCTCCTTTTTTGTACAGTGGTGTCACATTGGCTACTTTCCAATCTGCTAGAACTACCCCAGAGTCCAGCAAATTTTGGAAAATTACCACAAGTGCATTTGCCATTTCTCCCGCGATCTCTTTGAGTACCCTGGGCAGCATTCCATCTGGGCCAGGAGACTTGTCTACTTTTAGCTCCATTAGCTTGCCCAACACTACTACTTTCGCAATAACGATCGTTTCTAGGTCCTCACCTTCCTTAGTCTCTTTGTCATCAATTACTGGCAAGTTATTCGTGTCCTCCACTGGGAAGATCGACACAAAATACCTGTTTGATGCCTCGGCTATTTCCTCATTTCCCATGATTAAACCCCACTTCTCATTCTCTAACAGACAATGTTTACATTAGCCGGTCAGAACCAAAACCTCCTCAAGCTTTCTGTCAGTCAGCGAGCTGCAGTACACAGTGCACATTTGTGAGGCCGAGCTACAAACCAACAACACATTCACCGAGGTGTATGAGAATGGGCCTCAGTCTAAACACCCCGAAAATAAAAGTTCTTGACCAGCCTCTCCCCTCAAACACTGACCTCCCCCCCCCAACACAACCATCATCCTGCAGCAAGCCCTTGGACAACGTGGATCATTTCCCATACCTCAGGAGTCTGTCAGCGTGAGCAGGCTTGACAGTGAAATCCAATCTAGGCCTGAACCGTCAGTCTTTCTGCTCCTATGATGCTGCTTGGCCTGCTGTGTTCATCCAGCCCTGCACCTTGTTGTCTCTCATTAACTCCAGTGCATTGTTCAGTCACCTGGGGAACCGTGTTCAAAGTCTGAGACCTCAGACCCTGCCCCAATCTCATGGTCTACAGAGCAGCTGTAGTCCCACCCTCATGTATGCATCAGAAATATGGGCCATAAGACATAGGAGCAGAAATTAGGCCATTCGGCCCATCGAGTCTGCTCCGTCATTCAATCATGGCTGATAAGTTACTCAACCCCATTCTCCTGCTTTCTCCCCATAACCCTTGATCCCCTTAATAATCAAGAACCTATCTATCTCAGTCTTAAATATACTCAATGACCTGCCTCCACAGCCCCCTGTGGCAGTGAGTTCCATAGATTTACCACTCTCTGGCTGAAGAAGTTTCTCCTTATCTCCGTTCTAAAATGTCTTCCCTTTACTGTAAGGCTGTGCTCTCGGGTCCTAGTCTCTTCTACCAATGGAAGCATCTTCCCAACATCCACTCTGTCTAAGCCTCTGTGTTCTGGAAGTTTCACTCAGATTCCCCCCTCATCCATTGAGTACAGACCCAGAGTCCTCAGCTGTTCTTCATATGACAAGCCCTTTACCCCCAGGATCATTCTTGTAAACCTCCTTTGGACCCCCTCCAATACCAGCACATCCTTCCTTAGATACAGGACTCAAAACTACTTTCAATATTCCAAATGCAGTCTGACGAGACCCTTATACAGCCTCAACAGCACATCTTTGCTCATATTCTAGCTCCCTTGAAATGAATGCTAGCATTACATTTGCCTTCCTAACTGCCAACTGAACCTGCACGTTAACCTTAAAAAAAAAACCTGAACTGGGACTCCCTTTGTCATTCAGTTTTCTGAAGTCTTTCCCCATTTAGAAACTAGCCTATGCCTCTATTCTCCTTACCAAAGTGTATAACCTCACATTTCCCTACATTGTATTCCATCTGCACCCACTGTCCCAGCCTGTCCAAATCCTTCTGCAACCCCCTCACTTCCTCAACACTACATGTCCCTCCACCTATCTTCATGTCATCTGTAAACTCAGCAAAAATACCCTCAGTCCTTTGTTCAGATTGTTAATGTATAACGTGAATAGTTGTGGTCCCAACACTGACCCTGTGGAACTCCACTAACCACCAGCTGCCATCCTGAAAAAGATCCCTTTATCCCCACTCCCTGCCTCCTGCCAGTCAGCAAACCCTCTGTGTGTACCAGCACCCTGCCCTGAACACTAAGCTGAGCAAGATGACAGCTCTGTTGTT